CATGCTCATGAGGAACCTGTACATAGACCAGGAGGCTGTTGTTCAAATAGAACAAGGGGATACTGCATGGTTTAAAATCAGGAAGGGAGTGTGTTAGGGTTGTATCCTTTCACCATACTTATTCAATCTGTATGCTGAACAAATAATCCGAGAAGCTGGACTATATGAAGAAGAACACAGCATCAGAATTAGAAGAAGACTCATTAACAACCTGTGATATCCAGACAACACAACTTTGCTTGCTGAAAGTGAAGATGACTTGAAGCACTTACTGATGAAGATGAAAGACTTCAGTCTGCAGAATGGATTACATATCTACATAAAGAAAACAGAAATCCTCACAACTGGACCAATAACCAGCATCACAACAAATGGAGAAAAGATTGAAGTTCTTAAAGATTTCATATTACTTGGTTGGCAAAGAATGCTGTGAGTACCGTGGGCTGCCAAAAGAACTGACAAATCTGTTCTGGAAGAAGTGCAGCCGGAATGCTCCTTGGAAGCAAGAATGAACAGACTTCATCTCACTTACTTTGGTGATGTTGTCAGAAGGGACCATTCCCTGGAGAAGGATATCATGCTTGTAAAGCGGAGAGTCAGTGAAAAAGGGGAAGGCCCTCAACAAGATGGATTGACAAGTGGCTGAAATGATGGGCTCAGGTATAGCAATGATTGTGAGGGTGGCACAGGACCGGGCAGTGTTTCATTCTGCTTCACATGGGGTCACTATGCGTCGGAGCCGACTCGATGCCACCTAACAATAACAACAGTTGCAATATTTTGGAGAGCACTTATAACTTACCAGCATCATACTAAGTGTTTTCTATTAATTCACTTCTATCTCCTTTAAACAATCTTCTGAGGAAGGTACTGTTATTATACTTATAATACTATATTGTGTTATATATTACATTACATTACATTATGTTGTGTTACGTTATGTTATGTTACATTACGTTATATTATATTATATAAATGATGAAACTAGGTCAAGGAAATTTTCAGTATCTTGCCCACTGATCTCAAATCTCTGCAGCACTGTCCACTAGAACTTTTTGTAATGACAGAAATATTCCATGTCTGCTCTTCCAATATAGTTGCTTCTAGCCACGTGACTGTTGAGCAGTTGGAATGTTGCTAGTGTGACTAAGGAACTGAATTTTTCATTTTGATTAATTTTTAATTTAGTTTTAATAGCCACATCAACTCTAGCGAAAAGAGTCAGGGTGTGAGCAGAGGCATGTGTATACCACAACTAAATGGAGGAGCAGGATTTAAACTAGAAATTTAATATCCCAAAGACCACTTGTGAGTGTCAAAACTGCCAACAAGAGCCAGCATAGTCCAGTGGTTCCCACACAGGCCTTAGAGGAAGTCACTCTGCATAATAGTTCTTAGATATTTGAAGAAAATCATTGAATATACCATTGTGAATTGGCCAGGAGCCAGTTCTAATCCTAGAATTATAGCCTGAAGACAAACTCTAGGTATTTTTGAGAGACAACATGAGCTGAATTGTTTCCATGACAATGAACCCAGAGGAAGTTCCACGTTGGTCTTATGGCTACGTCATAGGCAACTTTCTCCCCAGTAGAGCATAGGAAAAGTCCATTTTTATCTTTCTCAGGAATGTGTCAGATACAGAACACCACTGTGGTTTGAGATGTTTCAGGTACCAAGGCCATGAAACTTGTGAGCCAGTGTGGTGATCCAGCTATTAGCCGTAGCCAAAATGGCAGCCCCTTATGGAAAATTTTTCATTCATAGTCCGTTTGCAACAGAGCTTTTTCTTCCAGAAAAGCAGTGGTGAGTGGTGGCTTTGGATCTGTGGGGCATAGATACGATTCTTTGTGTCACATGCACTTTGCAATATTTGTAACCCATCCTCTCCTTTTTACAGTGGGAAAAACAGAATGTACGATGTCATCCAAGAGACCATTGAAACTGATTTCCCAACCTTCCTAGGAAAGATCTTTGCTTTTCTTGCCAATCCAGGCCTGATCATTCCAGCCATCCTGCTGATGTTGTAAGTTGGCCAGAGCCCATTTTTCAGTATCTTGCCCAATGCTTGTTCCATGCTCTGTTGCATGGAAACTTCCCCTTGCGGTTGAGATGTTGCTTGACAAGCCCTTCTTTCTTGCCCTCTGTGTTAGTCTGGATTCTCCACAAGTGGACCATGAGAAAAGGACTCAAATTCAAGTAGTTTATTTGGGGAGATAAGTGGAGAAGTGATACAGGAAAGGGAAAGTTCTCTCTTAGTCTTGCTACACTTAATGACTTGATCCTGCTGGGAACTCTTGGAGAGAGTGTAGAACTTATACCTCAGAGTTATCCCACTCTAATGGTAGAGACTTGGGGCATTTGTAGACTAGCTCTCATAAACCATTGGTTGAGGGCTACCAGGAGATGAGAGGATAATTTCCAGCAATTTTGACCAGTTGTGTTCATGGGTAGAATGATTTCTGTAAGGGACTGAAAAGGAAGCCTCAGGCACAGACGTACTGGTAGTGGCAAATCTTTCCGAGAGAAAGCTGATAGATAGTGTCCAAGGGACATGGTGGGCACTGCCATTACCTACAAAGCCCTCTACCACAATGTACGTCTCAAAAATCAACCATCAAAAACCGTATGTCAGTTCTACTCTGACACACATGAGGTCAACATGATTCAGAACGACTCAATCGCAATTGGTACAGAATACTAAGGGCTGGGTGTCCTTGGGAAAATTACTTCATCACTCTCATCTGTAGAGATGGGAATTCATTCTTTCTACTTCATGTGCATGTGGCACAGAGACAAGCACAGGGCAGGTGCCCAGGAGATGTGTGACTTCTTTTGCGAAAAAGAAACCTTGCCACGCTCCGACCCCTCAGACTGCCCAAAAGAGAAGTGATCCCTTAGGCCAATCCTTGCTGAGCTCTCTCAAAAGTAGAGATGTGTAGGTAATGGCCACACTTAATAGACTAGAGAAGGGAGAAAGAGGGAGGAGCAGGGGCTTCTTGACCTTGTCCAGGTTGAGTGAGGAACATAGGATGGTAGAATAACCCCTTGACCTAATGAAAAGGCATGGCATCTGTTCCAGAAATCCCTGACTTGGTTCCTTTGGAAAGGTGTGGGATTTTGTCCTTCCCAAGATGGTAGGAACCAGGAGACATGTTTCTCTCTTGCAGCCTGGCCATCTACTATTTGAACTCAGTTTCTAAAAGCCTTGCTCGAGCTAATGCCCAGCTGAGGAAGAAAATCCAAGCGGTGAGTCTACCAGAAATTTCCTCCTAGAGGGTAAAAACATCTCATGTTTTTATGTTTTTCCAAATTTGCTCTGCAAGGTCAATTGCATTTGCTTCCTTTAAAATCAAATCTAAAAACATCTATATTACAGGAAGTAGCCTTGTGAGATTCAACAGCAGCATCTATGTTCTAGGGGTACTTCAAGGTACATAACAATAATGATTGAAATTATGGGAGGTTGCTAAAGAACAGAGGATTTTTTTTTTTTTTTTACTTTTATTGTGGTGAAAACATACACAAGACATTTGCCAACATAACTTTCACATTTACAGCTCAGGGGCATTAATGACATTTTTCATGTTGTGCCACCATTATTGCTATCCTTTTCCAAAATTTTCCACCACCATTAGCATAAATAGTGGACTGATACAATATTTGTCCTTCTGTGATTAACTTCTTTCACCCAGCATAATGTCCTCCAAGTTCATCCATGTTATGCAGTGTTTTGCAGACTCTACATTATTCTTTAGTGTTTCATAGTAGTCCATTGGGTGTATGTACCACAGTTTGCTATTCCATTTGTTTTCATTATCTAGTGCTGCTATGGGAGCTCTGGTAGTGTAGTGCTTGGACCCGCATATACTTCATGTGTTTGTTTGCTGCCTGAATAACATCTTTAGTGAAGGGTCTGTTCATGTCTTGTACCCATTTTTAAATTGGATTTTTTGTCTTTTTAAAGATGAGGTGTTAGAGTCTTCTATAAATTTTAGAGATAAGTCTTTTGTCAGATATGTCATTGCTGATTATCTTTTCTCAAAGATTATCTTTTCTCTTTTTACTCTTTTGGAGAAGTCTTTTGATGCATATAAGAATTTAATTTTTAAAAAGTCCCAATCATCTACTTTATCTTCTGCTGTTTATACATTTTGGGTTATGCTTGATAGTCTATTTATGCCATAAATTAGGGGACCCAAATCTGCCCCTATTTTTTCTTTGATGAACTTTATAGTTTTAGACTTTGATCGATCTGGATTTAGTTTTTGTGTATGGTGTGAGATATGAATCTTGTTTCATTTTTCTGCAAATGGGCATCCAGTTTTGCCAACACCATTTGCTAAGAGACTATCTCTTCTCCATTTAATGAATTTCAGCCCTTTGTGAAAGATCAGTTGACCATAGGTTGATGAATCGATATCTGGGTTCTCAATTGTGTTCTACTGGTCTATGTGTCTGTTGTTGTACCAATACCAGGCTGTTTTGACTACTGTGGCTGTATAGTAGGTTTTGAGATCTGGGAGTGTGCGACCTCCTACTTTGTTCTTCTTCTTCAGTAGTGCTTTGCTTATCTGAGTTCTCTTTACTTTCCACATAAAATCAGTGATTGGTTTTTCCATATCTTCAAAGAATATGATGGAATCTGGATTGGGATTACATTTAATGGGTAGGTTGCTCTGGGCAGTATTGACATTTTCACAATGTTCAATCTTCTTACCCATGAGTATGGAATGTTCTTCCATTTATGTAGATCTCTTATGGTTTCTTAAAGTAGTGTTTTGTAATTTTATTTGTAAGGTCTTTTGTGTTCCTGGTAAGATTTATTCCCAAGTATCTTATCCTTTTGGTAGCTATTATAAATTATATTGATTTCCTTATTTCCTTTTCAGAGATCTCTTTGCTGGTGTAGAGGAATCTAACTGATTTGTATGTTGATCTTGTATCTTGCCACTATGCTAAATCTCTCAATTACTTTCAGAAGGGTTTTTTTGTTTTGTTTTGTTTTGTTTTTTGCTGATTCTCTTGTGTTTTCTGGGTATAGGATCATATCATCTGCAAATAGGGATAGTTTTACTTCTTACTTACCAATCTAGATGCCTTTGTTCTCCCTTTCTGGTCTTATTGCCCTGGCTAGGACTTCCCATACAATATTGAATAGAAGTGGAGATAGAGGGCATCTTTGTCTGGTTCCTGTTTGTAAGGGGTTTCAGTCTCTCTCCATTGAGAATAATGTTGGCTGTTGGTTTTGCATATATGTCCTTTATTATGTTGAGGAATGTCCCTTCTATTCCTGTTTTTCTGAGAGTTTATATCAGGAATGGATGTTGGATTTTATCAAATGCCTTTTCTGCATCTATTAATATGATCATGTGATTCTTTATTTTACTTATGTGATGGATTATGTTGATCATTTTTCTAATGTTGAACCATCCTTGCATACCTGGTATGAATCCCACTTGGTCATGATGTATTATTTTTTTATATATGTTGTTGGAGTCCATTGGCTAGGATTTGCTGAAGATTTTTGCATCTATATTCATGAGGAATATTTGTCTGTAATTTTCTTTTCTAGGGATGTCTATGCCTGGTTTTGGTATCAAGGGTTATGCTTGCTTCATAAAATGAATTTGTGAGGATTGCCTCCTTTTTTTATGTTCTGGAATAGTTTGAGTAGGATTAGTGTCAATTCTTTTCTGAATGTTCAGTAGAATTCTCCAGTGAAACCATATGGGCTTGGACTTTTTCTTATTGGTAATTTTTTTATGACCTGTTCAATTTCTTCTTTTGTTATGGTTCTGTGCAAATGCTCTACCTCAGTCTATTTAGGTAAGTAGTGTGTTTCTAGAAATCTTCCTATTTCTTCTAGATTTTCAAATGTGTTGAACTACAGTTCTTCATAGTATCTTGATATTATTCTTTTTATTTCTGTTGGTTCTGTTGTGACGTCACCCATTTCATTCTTATTCGTTATTTGCATCTTCTTCTTTTCCTTTGTTAAATTTGGCAGTGGTTGGTCAATTTTATTAATCTTTTCACAGAATCAACTTCTAACCTTAGTGATTTTTCTATTGTCTTTCTATTTTTTGTTTCATTTATTTCTGCTCAAATTTTGATTATCTCTTTTCTTCTGGTGACTGTAGGTTTTTTGTGCTGCTCTTTTTCTAATTGTTGGTGATGTTGGATTAAGGTGTTGATATTGGCTCTTTCTTCTTTTTTGATGTGTGCATCTATTGCTATAAATTGCCCTCTGATAACTGCATTTGCTGTGTCCCAAAGATTTTGGTATATTGTGTTTTTATTCTCATTTCATCCAAGGAATTTTTATTTCATTTTTCATTTCTTCTATTACCTAGTCATTTTTAAGGAGGGTGTTATTCAATTTCCATGCATTTGCTCTTTTTCCATTGATCTTCCTATTGTGATTTCTGATTTTATAGCATTGTGATCTGAGAAGACACTTTGCAGTATTTCAATGTTTTGTTTTGTTTTTAATTTATTGAGGCGTGCTTTGTGGCCTAACATATAGTCTGTCCTGGAGAATGTTCCATGTGCACTAGAAAAGAATGTACTGTTGTTGGGTAAAGTGCTCTGTAGATGTCTATAAGCTCAAGTTGGTGGATTGTATTGTTTAGTTTTTATGCACCTTTGTTGAGTTTCTTTCCAGTTCTATCTTTTATTGGAAGTGGTGTATTACAGTCTCCTCCTATTACTATGGAGTCATCTATTTGTCTTTTCAATTCTGTTAAAGTCTGATTTATGTATTTTGAGGCTATTTCACTGGGTGTGTAAATGTTTATTATGGTTGTGTCCTCTTGTTCAATTGATCCTTTAATCATTATATAATGTCCTTCCTTGTCTCTTATGGTGTTTTTTGTCTAAAAGTCTATTTTATCATAAATTAATATTGCCACTCCTGCTCATTTTTTACTGCCATTTGCTTGATATATCTTTTTCCAACATTTTATTTTCAGTCTATTTTTGTCTTTGTGTCTAAGGTAAGTCTCTTGTAGACAGCATATTATTGGGTCATGTTTTCTTATCCAGTCTGCAACTGTCTGTTTGAATGGTTCATTTAATCCATTTACATTCAGTGTAATTATCAACAAGTCTGAATTTATTAATGTCATTTTGTTATGTGTTTTTTCATGGTGTTGTGGATTTCTTTCTTCTGTATAATTTTCTGTGTTGAGCTTATTCTGCTTATGAATTTTGTTATCATTTCCTTCATTGCTATTTAGTATTTGCTAAATATTTTTGCCTCTCCTCTTTATTATTCTGATGTGAAAGTTTATCATATATTTCATTGTGCTTACCCTGTGATTTATAGTTTTCTTGTCAAATTTAGAACAGTTTGTTCTATCTCTCAATTGTCTTGACTTCCTCACCATTTAGAAGGCACTTGACTGCTAACCAGAAGGCTGGTGGTTCAAACCCATCAGCCACTCCTTGGAAGGAAGATGGAGCAATCTACTTCTGTAGTGATACTACCTCAGAAACCCAAGGAGGGATCGCTATGAGTCAGGTCCAACTTGATGGCACATAACAACAACAACAACATAACTACCCTATTTATGCCCTCTTTTTGGCTTATAGTTGTCCTTATTTACCAATTAATGGTTCCTTGTTTACAGTCTTGTAAGCTAATTTTACTTTGGATACTTCTACAACTGTGTTGGTTTCTGAATTATGTCATCATGTGTATTAATCATCAGTTGATGCTTGCTGTTGTTGGTTCTCTGTCTGAAGGACTCCCTTTGACATCTTTTGTAAGGTTGGTCTGGTTTTAACAAATTCCCATAGTTTATGTTTATATGGAAATGTTCTAATTTCACCATCATATATGAGAGACAATTTTGCTGGGTATATAATTCTTGGTTTGAAATTTTTTCCTTTCACTTTATATATATCATCACATTGCCTTCTCTTCTACATGGTTTCTGCTAAGAAATCAGAGCTTAGTCTTTTTTTTAAAAAAAAAAAAATTATTTTGATTTGGGTGAAAGTTTACAGAGCAAATTTACTTTCCATACAGCAGTTCACACACACTTTGTCTCATAATATTTACTGCAATGCAACAGCTCCCCTCCCACTTCTTTCCTGTGTCCTTCCCTCCCATGCACTCCTGCCCCACAAGCTGTCAGAGCTTAGTCTTATCAGTTACCCTTTGTAGGTAACTTTTTATTTTTCTCATGCTGTTTTCAGGATTCTTTCTTTGTCTTTTTGGTTTTGGTGAGTTTGATTATGATATGTCTCAGTGATTTCCTTTTGACGTCTATTCTCTTTGGGGTTCATTGAACTTCTTGAATTGGTATCTTGTTCTTGTTTTTCATCATATTAGGGAAACTCTTCTCCAACAAATCTTTAACAATTTTCTCTGTGGTTTTATTTGTCTCTTCCTGTTCTGGAATTCCAGTTAAAAACAAACCGAACCAAACTCACTGCCATTGAGTCAGATCTGATTCATAGCGACACCTCTTGGGTTTCTGAGGTGGTATCACTATGGAAATAGATTGCCCAACCTCTTGATGATATCTTACATGAATCTTAGGGTTTCTTCATTTTGTTTTGATCATTTTTCTGATTGATCCCTTAACAAAGTAGTATTGAGGTATTTCTCTTTAATCTCACTAAATCTGTCTTCCATTGAGTCAATTCTACTCCATTGCCCATTTAATGTGTTATCTATTTCTGAATCTTAGTATTAATCTTCTGGATTCCTAGGTTTTTTTGGTATCTTTTCTAATTTTTTGTTTATTTTGTCAGTTTGTTTCTTGTACTGTTTTCCTAAATTGTTCTAGAGTTTTTTTTCTGTGTTTTCCTTAATTTTGTCAGTGTTTTCCTGAATATTGTTAGTGTCTTCCTTGATCTGTCTCTCAATCCATTGAAGGTACCTAAATGCAATTCTTTGGAATTCCTTATCAGGGAGTTCTAATGCTGCTTTTTCCTCAAGGTTGTTTTCTGGGTTTATATCCTGGTCCCTTGTTTCCACTACTTTATCTTGCTTCTTTGTGTAGACTGGGATGGTCAATTGTCTCTGAGACATTATGATGTTGTTGTATTATGTTTAATCTGTGGTTGTATGTTGATGTGATTAGCCCAAGATTTTTTTTCCCCTTTATTTTGTTTTGATGCATCTGTGTGAGCAGGGTACTGTGCTCCTCTATTCACCAGTTGGTAGCACTTAGATACCACCTGTATGTCTCCTGTTGGGCATAATAGAGAATGAGAATATGTACACAGATCTCTGTTAGCTGTTCATGAAGAGCAGTTGAGGATGAGAGAGCTGGTATTGGCTGCTGTCTATCATAGGTCAGTGCAAAAACTACAAGGAGGCCACATGTCCTGACCTCCTCTAGCCCTACAAGGGGAAGGAAGGATTACCAGCAGTAAACCAAGGCCTATTACTGCAAGGCCAGACATGCTGCCTCCCTCCAGCCCTTTCACCAACCGTTCCTCCCAAAGTACCCACCACCTCTCTCCTGGGTTTGATAATTCGCTGCAGTGGCCACACAGAACTCACAGATTATGAGGTTTATTAGGGAAGCACCAGGCTACAATTTGAGTTCAAGAAAAATGCTCAGTCTCTCTCCCAGCCCACCGTCCCTCAGCCAACAGTCTCTCACAGTCTCTTTCCCGGCAGTACTGGTCCCTTGGTGTCTCACTCAGCAATGCATGTCTCTTGCGTCTCTTTCCCAGCAGCATGTGTCTCTTTCCAGAGCGTGTGTCTCTTTCAGCAGCACGTCTTCCTCGACCAGCAGTCAGAGAGAGTTCTGCCTCTAGGAGGCCTCCTTTAAGCCCCGGCAGGGTGGTCAAACTAGCCAATTATAGCATCAGAACTCTAAGCACCTGAGAGAGAGAGTGGGCACCTCCCAGAACATTGTTTTGTGCCACTCCCAACAGAAATA